AACCTTTAAATTTTTTTTTTGACTAAATGATCATTGACTAAATACAATATAACGTTAAGTATAACGTAACCACTACTAATTAATTTCTATTTTATTTTATTTTATTTTTATTTTATTTATTTCTATTTATTTCTATTTTATTTTTTATTCTGCTTTATTTTATTTCATTTTATTTTATTCTATTTTATCCGTTCTACGCATTATCAAACTTCTCCTCTACTCCTAGAGCTACTATAACTTAAGACCGAATATATTAAACATTTTAATTCGCCCCCTCTAGCGGTTTGGGCCAAATTGCAGCTTTCCAAAAAAATCCAAGATGGCGCCGGCAGATCGGCGCGGCTCGGCGATTGCCGGTTTCCTTGTATTTTCCTTGGTATTTTACGCGATTCAAGCAAAGAAACAAGTTGACCACAAGAACAAAAGAGTAATACAGCACTGGGAACCTAATGGTCCGTTTTGTTGGGCGGTAATTTCTCATTTCAAGTGAATATTTGCGTGCGTCACAGTGTGACTACTGCCAGTACTGGTGTAAAAATCGGCTCGATCCGAACCAAACACGGCCTGTAAACTTGTCCTTCGTGATTTCTAGATAACTATCTGTAACAAAGACATGGGAAAATATTGTTGAAAAACGAGAGAGACGGAAACTAACGTAAATTTCTTTTATTTTAAGGCTAGATTTTCATTTTCCTGGCAGGTTTCCTTGTATATCGATAGTGACAATTTTTTTCCAAAACCGATTTTCCAAAATACGTCGATGAAGGTTAGACATCCAGGTAATACGATATGCAAAAAAACAGTTACTCAAGCAACTGGATATGATTTTGAAAACGTCAGACGATTTTCCAAAACTTTATAAACGTACCGTCCCTAATAAGAACGTACCGGGTGGACGTTCGGGCCGAAAAAAATAAACGTACCGGTACGTTTATAAGGGACATGAGAGTAATAATTATTATATACTGTGTATATGTTATATAATGTGATATAATGTTGAGCACCAAATGCATGAGAGTCCATTTGCATTTTCCTCTGTAATGCTACTTAGACCTTCAAATGCTTACTACATGTACTACAATGCAACTTTCTGTATTTTGAGGGGAAAATTTTGCTGGTAACCTACGCTAGCTCGTTGACAGAATGTACTGCACCTGAGCGAAACCAGTAATGTATTATGCACAGCACTTTGGCAGAACGTCTCATATAAGGTCGCATTCGCGCATGTGAGGTTAACATCCCTTCTGTAGTTTCCAAATATTGTGACGGAAAAGATATCATCTAATCTATAACAGGCGAAATTCTGGTGCAATGTTGACCAAGCATCTATTAAAAAGCATGAAAAATAAGGGTTCTGCGCAGGCAAAGTACGTTCTGCCGACATGCTACCTATGCTTATTTTAACTGCATGAATTTGCATCCCTTTCTACTGTATATCATTACATGATTTTTGTCCATCAAAGAAAAAATGAATTGGGCAAAATTTTTGTGTCATGATTATGAACAGCAAATTTCTGTTAAATGACGAGAACACAAATGTTGGATTTTTGTTGTTCTGTACAGATGGATTCAAAGGTGACACCTTCCTGGTGGTGAAGCTTCTCCTTCCCGGGGTAGTCAAGAGAGTCTACAACCTGAACAACAAACAGCTGCTCAAACACTTCGCTAACATCTTCGGGGTCAACCTGGCGGACATGTTGACTGACCTTGAGCAAGGTCAGAGTGTGTTTCACCTTACAAAATACAGTCACTGATTGAAGAATTTTCTACTAACTGTTAATTCTAGCTAGGTGACTGATGAACCTCTTCAATGACAGAGCATGTTTGTTTTTGATTATGTTTACCTTTGCAGAAGGAAAACATCTTGTTTTTGAGTAGTGCCTTCCTCTGAGTCAATGACCTGGACCAGACGTCTTTCACCGTGGTAACTGGTGCTGTAGCAGACAACTTGTCCCAGACTTCTTTTGTTCATTATCGTTAGTTTCTCTCTGATTAGCCAACAAACATGCATGCAGAAAAAGATTTGAATACAGGAAATGAGATAAACTTTTCTAGGGTCATTTCTGGAACCTTTGACCTAACTTCCTATCAGTGTCCCCCAATGTAAATAGCATGAGGAAATACAATGTAGCAATGAAAAAAATAGAAATAAGAAGAAAGGAAATGAGATAACCTTGTATGGGATCCTTTTGGGACCTTTGACCTTATTTCCTGTCAGTGTCCCCAATGTGATCATGACTAGCAAGAAAAAATAACTATGGAACCACACACTAAAATGGGATTACGTAAAATAAACCCAACTCTGAACATGAACCCACAGGTGATGTGTCAGAAACTGTGCGGAAGTTTTTTGAGGAGAGTGAGCGCTGCCCGCCGGCCAAGAAGAGCAAACTGACCGTCCAGGAGGTGGACGAGAGTCTGGACATCCTGGCTCAGATGACCAAGGAGGACGACCAGATGAGGGAACTACACAAGATCGCAAAAAAGTGAGTTGGTGCAACATTTTACATTATGAAAACTACAAAAATGCATGTTGTTTGTTTTGCATTGTATGGAGAAGTTGCTAGGCCAGCAGACACGACATCAAGAAGTCAGGGTTTGGATTCCATGCATTTCTGGCTAGACATTAGGCCACACCAATTTAATTTGTTGCTTCTCAGATTTTTCAGAAAAAAAATTGGAGCGACAGGGCGAAAAAAAAAAAATTAAAAAATGTTAAAAGTCTAGGGTGAAGATGTAGGGCTTACATAACATCAAAAATAAAAAGATTATGCAATTTTTCAGCTTTACAGCATTTAGTTTTATGCATTGAATCCCTTATTAATATAAGCTTTCTTTCATCTATTAACTATGATTCTGAATAAAGGACATTAATATTGTTTCATCATCATATTTTAGTGCTTAGTTTCTTATTTTTATAATTTCATTGCAGATATAATTCTTTTCAAACCCTAGAACACAAATTGAATTGGTGGTGTCTTATAGCTGAGTGGTTTGTAGAGATACCTTTTTATTCTAAACTGTTGACCAATCAACTGCTATCTAGTTAATTTCATCAGGTGATTACTCTACTTTCTACAGATGCACAGCCAATGATCTAAAGGTTGTAGTTCGCCTGATTAAACACGACCTGCGGATCAGCGCGGGAGCCAAACACATCCTGGAGGGACTGGACCCCAACGCCTACCCAGCATTCCAAGCGTCGCGTAACCTGGCGGACGTTGTGGAGAGAGTGGTGGCCAATGGGAGCGCTCCAGGGATGAAGAAGTCACTGAGCATCAAGGCAAACCTGATGACACCTGTGCTGCCCATGCTGGTAGGATCTTACATGTTTTTCATGGTCTTTTTACATATCTCTATTAGTCATTACCTCAGTGGTATAATCACTCTTTGGCATAACACACCAGCTTCATATAAATTCATATACATACATGTATAGCCAGTTTATGGGCCCTTCGGCGTAACACACCAGCTTCTGTATCTGTATACATATAGCCAGTATATGGGCCCTTCGGCGTAACACACCAGCTTCTGCATCTGTAATACATATAGCCAGTATATGGGCCCTTCGGCATAACACCAGCTTCTGTATCTGTATAGCCTGTATAACTGCCCTTTGGCGTAACACACCAGCTTCTGTATAGCCGATATAACCACCCTTCTGCATAGCAGCTTCTGTATCTGTATAGCCAGTATAACCGCCCTTCAGTATAACACACCTGTCCAGCTTCTGTATAGCTGGTATAACCGCCCTTCGGCGTAACACACCAGCTTCGATTTCTGTATCTGTATAGCTGGTATAAAACTATAACCATCCTTCGGCATAACACACCAGCTTCTGTATCTGAGTGTATAGCCGGTATAAGAGCCATTCAGCGTAACACACCAGCTTCTGTATCAGTATAGCTGGTAGAACCACCCTTCGGCGTAACACACCAGCTTCTGTGTACATGTACTCATATCTTTATAGCCGGTATAACCGCTCTATGGCGTAACACACCAGCTCCTGTGTCTGTATAGCCAAGGTGTGTAAGTCAGTAGAGATGGCCATGAGTAAATGTTTGTGTTGACAAACAGTTGTTTATTTGTTTATGTGTACAGGCCAAGGCGTGTAAGTCAGTAGAGATGGCCATGAGGAAGTAATATGTTGACAAACTGTTGTTTGTTTATGTGTACAGGCTGAGGCCTGTAAGTCAGTAGAGATGGCCATGAGGAAGTGTTTATGTCGACAAACTGTTGTTTGTTTATGTGTACAGGCCGAGGCGTGTAAGTCAGTAGAGATGGCCATGAGGAAGTGTTTATGTTGACAAACTGTTGTTTGTTTATGTGTACAGGCCGAGGCGTGTAAGTCAGTAGAGATGGCCATGAGGAAGTGTTTATGTTGACAGACTGTTGTTTGTTTATTTGTTTATGTTTACAGGCGGAGGCGTGTAAGTCAGTAGAGATGGCCATGAGGAAGTGTCCTAACGGGATGTATGCGGAGATAAAGTACGATGGAGAGAGAGTTCAGGTCCACAAACAGGGCAACAAGTTTGAGTACTTCAGCCGCAGTCTCAAACCTGTCCTGCCTCACAAGGTAAATCTATTCGTTTATAGAATTGAACCATCCTGGTTTTACTGTTAGGCCACACCGATTTAATTTTATGGATGACATACTATGCAGACCCCCAAACTAGTGCGCGCGAGCAAATAAAAAAAATCCGGCCAAAAATAAAAATGCTACTAAACCACAGGAATACAAAGCTGGTATTGTGAATTTGCGGCAGTACTAATAACAACGTATATGACATGCTGGCTTTTTGCGGCATTTATGAATCGGTACTGTACTTATGTACTGAGTTCTTGAGTCGCGGAGCTTCGAATTCAATAGCCTGCTGAGTGGGTGCTCGGCTCCGTTTTGTCGCTGACTACCATGGACTACCCAGGCCTAGAGCCAGGCCAGAGCCTCGGTGGACGTGATGTTTTTTTTTTTTTTAGGGCGAAAATCAATGCGCAAATCAATGCGCGCGCCAGTGTTTCCGCCAGAGGGCCGTCCACCCGTCATATGACGGCCTGGTGTCGTTTTGGACGGCCTAAACTCGGACAGAGGCCGTCCTCTTAAAAAATTTCGAGACTCGGAAAAATCAGAGATATTTACAGTCTTTGTTTTGTTGCTGTAGACGAGGACACCGTCCAAGGCAAGAAAGACACACGTTGTTTGTTTTGCTAATATCATGCTGACGAACGATTGATGTCGGCACCTTTCGCATACGTTAATCTCATTAAAACCCGTTTTTCAAGTCTCCATCCGGTAAAATGTATCCACAAACATTTTTCCTCGAACAGAATCATTTCGGATGTGAAAATTCTCTTTTGGGAGTTACGTTTTTGTTTTTGATGTTTTTGTAGCGGGCGGGTTGCATGAAAATCCACGCCGCAGTTCGCTATCCACGCCGCGGTTCGCTAACACTTCCGGCTTGCTTGAATACGGGGAAGGCACCACAAATCGGCATATGGATGCATACATTTTCCCAAAAATTCTTCATAATGAATTTCTTTAATGGAATGTTACTAATTAGCGGTAGAAACACCGTAGAAAGTAGCGTAGTGTAACTCTCTTCACCAGCAAACAAATTCAACAGCTATGCCGGCAAAGATGACTCTATCCAATCAGAGCGCAGGTCATATGAGGTCAACCAATCAGAGCGTAGAGTTCGCGCTGCTACTTACATATTAATGACAAAATGGCGCGTATTTCCTTCTCCGGCGAGGATGAGAATGTGCGCTGCAAGTTTATTTTTCCGGCGATTTTCTGACTTTTAACGCCGGTTTTTCGCACGCTACGATCACGCTACCATTTGACACTGTACTGGAGACAACAGATGAGTGATCATTTTACAATCAAGGAGCATTTTTGTTGAATGAAACAGCAATGAAAGCTACGATACAGCCAATTATTTTTCAAAATTTGTCTCGTGTATGAGAGATAAGATGACGTTTCTTTACATGTTTTGATGTATTTTTGGCTTGATATTAACTAGTACTTCGTAGCGGAAATGTACGGAAGAAGTACGAGTACGAACGAAGCAAGGCTCTTCACTATTAAAAATCCGGCTAGCGCGGGCGCTACCGGAGGTTATAATTAAATGACGCCGATGTTTGGAGTTTTGCAGCAAAGTTTTGCAACAGTATAATTTCCTGACGATACGTTTGCCATCTGTAACAGTGTTTTTATGTCAATACAAAAAAATGTGGAATGCTTGTGGACATTTTCAACTTGTAAACAAGTGTAAACAAATGCCCCGCCCCCTCAGTTAATTTTCGCGACGTGTTCCCAAAGTTAATTAATTTTCGCGACCCGGCCCTTCCCAACTGGACGGCCTCTCAGCTGCAGTCTGGCGGAAACACTGGCGCGCGCGGATGTCATCCATAAAACTAAGTCAGTGTGGCCTTACCAAACTTAACTTACAGTGCTTGCAATGCTTTTTTCTGCATACCCACACCATATCCAGTGTCAGACCATTGGATCTCCTGTCATTCTACCTGTCAATCTTTCCCACCCACCTGCTGTTGACCTACTTTCAAGATCACATCCCCGTTTCCTGTGTCTGACCTTCTGACCTGTCATTCAGCCCATCAAAACCAATTTGCAAGAATTCTAGGAATTGTACAGGAATTTTGTCCACAGGCATGGGATATCCACAGGAATGTCTCCCAGCTCTGTTTGCTGACATGCCCACATTCCTGGAAACCCTTTGGAAAACCTGTCTGTTCTGGATGCCCGTCTGTCCTGGATGCCCTACTATCTGTGACCCCAGGGCTCGTTCACTATACACTCAGGGGAGGAGTGCACTGTATCTGTCTAGACTTAACAGGTACTAAGGCTTCCTCAAAATCATGAAATCATGGCAGTGCCATGCAAACAACAAACCTAACAGCAACCACCATCGCCATGGCAATGTATTTTTTTATTGCCAGTCTTGTTGAATTTTTTTTCTGTTACAACCATGCACAGGTTGCCCACTTTAAAGACTACATCCCGAAGGCCTTCCCCCATGGCAGTAACATGATCCTGGACAGCGAGGTTCTATTGGTCGACACAAACACGGGAAACCCCCTGCCCTTTGGAACCCTGGGAATCCACAAGAAGAAGCAGTTCAGCGACGCACAAGTCGCACTGTTTGTGTTTGACTGTATCTACTACAACGGAGAAACTCTCATGGACAGGTATGTTAGGACATTCACACGTGCTATTTTTTTATTCTAAAAATTTAATAAAACATCTGAGGATTTATGATCATGAGTCAAGAATATGCGACTTAATTACACCCCACATGTATTGTTAATGAATAATTATTAATGTCTGTGCTACGTACATACACACAAACACACATCGTAAGTTATGTTGTATCGTAGGATGTGGGCACTGTAATTCAGATCTATTTCATAAAAGGTATTACTACCCATACGTTCATGTAACTTACATAAATGTATATCCAGCATAGTAAATTCGGGCTCCAGACTAAATTTTTGGCTTAAAAGTAAGTAGAAACAGGAAAACTCCTGACTCCTGGGACGCCAGGAATTGAACCCGCACAGCCAGCTCATACCAGTGCACTTACGACTACACCAAAAGGTTGAACCCTATTGTTGCATACTGTAATTCTGTTTATGTTCACGGTAGCAAAAGTTCATGGTCTAATGGACATGTTCACAGTGGCGATAGGTGCAGGAAAAAGAAAGTCCAGGAATCATTAATGTTAACTGTAATGATAAATTCACGGTACAGAAGTGACAGCGAAAACAGTGGTCAATGAAAAAATTAGGGATTACAGACTGAATTAATCTTTTAATTATGGGTTCACCACACCACGAAGTGGTGTGGTGAAACCATATTGCTTTTTCTGATGTTTCTTCTCCTCCTTCTCCTCCTTCTCCTTCTCCTGCCATTTTTTAAATGGATTCAGCTTCTTCATTTTAGGGCCCAAGGTCCTGAAATTTGGTATGGAGGTACAGTGGGCAAATACCCCTAGGCGTTTTTTAAATTATTGTGATACAGGCTTTTAGAATGGTTTTATTTGAGTTTTTTGGCTGTGTTATAGCAAATGTATTACTGTGTTAGTCTGCCTTGTTTACCACGTTTGGGTATGAGTCATCACAATGGAATGCAGGGCATCAACCAATAGGCATGCAGCTTTCCTCTATACTTCTTGCTGATTGGCTGTTGGGATTTAACTTGATTAACACCTGCACAGAAGCATTTCCATACTGACAGTATGTCTGTATTCAAGTGTTTTGGTAGGTATTTCAAGCTTTCCTGCTCCAGCATTGGAATGCCGGGCATGGACGTTTTTTATTTTGAAAATCAACAGTTTGCATTATGCAATTAAAAATCCTAACCAATAAAGTAGGGAATAGCTATCCAACTGTTGTTTTAGTTGTATTTTACTTCATATTATAGTTATATCAATGTAAATCATTGTTTTCCCTTGTGTTTCCCATTCTTTCCCTGCCATGTCGTAAAATGTGGTGAACCCATCGCTGTATTTGCTCCAAAGCAAATATTGGCCTTTCTAGTTCTATTATCTTTTTATTGCAGGCCAATTTCTGAGAGGAGAAAATTCCTGGAGGACAACATGACGGTGATCCCCAACAGAGTGGTTCTGTCTGAGTACAAACACATCACCCAGCCTCACGACCTGTCTGACATGATCGGCCGCGTCATTCGCGACGGGCTGGAGGGTCTCGTGCTGAAGGACACCAAGAGCATCTACGAGCCCGGCAAACGCCACTGGCTCAAGGTAAAAAAGGACTACTTAGAACAGGGCGCGATGGCGGATACGGCGGACTTGGTCGTGCTGGGCGCGTTCTACGGTACGGGGAATAAGGGCGGGCTCATGTCGGTTTTCCTGATGGGGGTGTACGATCCGGACTCCGACAAGTGGTGCACGGTCACGAAATGCGGAAACGGACACGACGACAACACCATCGCTAAACTCAACAAAGAACTGGCCATGGTCAAGATCAGTAAAGACGTGTCCAAAGTACCCAAGTGGCTGAAGATCACCAAGAACTTGGTACCAGACTTCGTGTGCGCGGATCCGAAGAAGGCGCCGGTTTGGGAGATCACGGGGGCGGAGTTTAGCAAGTCGGAGGCGCACACGGCGGACGGGATATCCATCCGCTTCCCGAGGGTCACCAAGATTCGCGACGACAAGGACTGGAAGTCAGCCACCAATCTACAGCAACTCAAGGTATTAATTAATCTGATTTTGCTTTAGCAGAGAGGAGTATAGAGAGCAAGCAAGCATAGACGCATTTATATATTTCTTTCAAATGCAACACATTACATAGTTACTTAATATACAGGCAGCAAAAGCTGATAAACGTAAGTCTACATAGAGGATAACAAGTACAATGTATGTTACATAATTATATACACAGCTACAACATATGGGACATCATACATTATTATACAAGTTCAAAAATTACACCAGCTGAACAATAATCTGTTTCACACAAGCCTATGCACAATGTATTTGAGACAGTGTCATTGAAAAATACATGATTCATAAGCACTCAGGGACACTGTTGCCGTACCAATTCAATCAAACAGTTCTTGGATTCGCCCTCCTTTCTGGTTTGGAAATAAGTTAACAGTCTGTTTTACAACTCTGAAACAATTTCAAAATGCTCATTTCTTTACCAAATAGCAGTACTGTAGTTTTTCCATCTATCAGTGCAGTTGTTTTAAAATTTGTTGTTTGAATAAACACACCAGCCCAGACTTCCTGGCTGATATTTATATTTCAGTCCATACCATGGTATGGATGAAATATATTTATATTTCAGTCCATACCATGGTATGGATGAAATATATTGTGTTCTCTCATGTTTCTCCTCCTCCTCCTTCTCCTCCTGCCAAACAGTCAAAGGGATTCATCTCCGCCATCATTCAGCCAAATGACCTGAAATTTGGCATGGAGGTAGAGTGGGCCAATACCCCCAGACGTTTTTTTCATTTTTTTGAAACATGCCTTTGAAAAATTTTTGTGAAGGTTTTTTGGGGCATTTTTCAACAAAAAATGGATTTTTGGATCCTGAGCCCTGGTATTACAACCAAATGATATGACATTCGGTATAAGGGTACCTTGAAGGTGTGTCTACAGAATAGCAGTCATGTATTTGGCATACACCACTTCCAAATGACTCATTTGGGGGACTTTAATGGCTATTTCAGGCCAAAAAAGGGCCAAAAGTGCTGTACCCGTTCCATGTTCTATCTAAAGAATGGCCTGTTCCATCCATGGAACATGTGTTCCATTGCAGGTTACTTGAGGTCACATTGCACGTAAGTCGTGTGTAATGACCCACACATTCAATTTTATGTGCCTAAGACCTTCAAAATGTATCAAATCTCATCATTTTTAGTATTTGCATACCTGTAATAAGATTAGTAAAGCTTTTGAGATTCAATGTGCTTGTTCTTGCATCTTTGTTCTCAATTACATAGCTACTATATAATTCATTTATTTGAGAATCTTTGCCAGTTTTACACTGGGGTAAGTTTGGAATAGTCCACTTTTGCGTGGGAGGGAGATGGACTGAAATATGCTGTATTTGCTCCCAAGCAAATGTCGGCCTCTCTAGTCTATTATTTGGGCTATTAAAGCATGCCTAAATTTTCTTCAGCCATGCTTCATCATCTTCAAAATAAAACCAGGACCAACAAATTAAATTTTTTCGGCTGGATATGTGTGTATGTATGTATGGCATTGAGACACTCAATTACAAACTTCTTTCGTTTGTGATCTAACCAAGACATTTTGTGTTTTTCCAGCAACTTTTCAAGACGTCCAAGGAGACCTCAGACATCCCCGACCTTCTGAAGGGGAAGGGCAAGTCACCCAGGAAACAGGTCAAGGTCAAACAGGAGGAAGTTGATGATGATGATGACAGTAATGGTGGTGCCTCCAGCAATGGGGCCTCACCAGTCAAAGGTGTGAAAAGGAAGGCTGAAGAAGTCAGTCCCAGAACACCCAAGAAGGTTGGTCCAACTACATTGTACTTTACATGTACTTAAACATGCAAAACTATTAAGATTAAGAAACCTATCTTGAGTGACTACCTTTCCATATACCAGATTTTATCAGTCCCTTGAGTGGTTGTGAGTTTTGACTGCACAAATGTATGTTTCACTTTAAAAAGTCTGCAATAAAAATTTCTTGCGTTTTTCAAATCCGTCAACTACCAGCTCACACAATTTATGAGCTAATGAAGAGGCATTGCATTGTTGATTAGCTTGGCTAGTGGACAATAGATCAAAAGATGACAGGTTTGATTCCTTGCATTCCTGGCTTATCACTGTGTCCTTGGGAAATGCTCTTTGCATGGCGTTTCTTGAACCGCACTACTACATGTAGTAGTCACCTAACAACAGTTAGGGAGGTAAATGGTCACGAGAAAAAAGGACAGGGATATATATAGGCTCTACCTTTTAATACTGTGCCCAGACACTGGATTGACAACCCACTGCCCCTTTGGCCTGAAAGGCTATGGCACATCTACCTTTACTACATTGTACTACATGTGTACCTTAATATTGAAGACTAATGCTGAGTTCACATTCAAAAGCAGGGAACAAGCTGGGCAGTTTAATGAACAAAAAACAAACAATTCATATCAAAAATATGCACAGATATTGCTCATGATCAATTGTTGCATTTATCTTAAATTTTGTGTTTTGCTGTCTTTTTGTTTCCAGAAACTGACCAGCCAAGCCCTGGCCTGGAAATATGACCTCAGCATAAGTAAGTGTTGTGTATTTTTGTGTTTCAGTCCAAGCCCATGTGTAGGTACGGAGCCGCCTGCTACCAGACCAGCCGGGACCACCTGGACAAGTTTGACCACCCCACCGCCAAGTCTCCCAGAAAGACCAACGGTCCTGCAAAGGTTCGGCCCAAACCACGATTTTCCCGACGCTTTTCACGACGTTAAAAGTTCAATCAACATCGCCTTCTAACACTTCATGATCATTGATGATACATTTTTGCCAAGACATTGTTGCCATGTCAAATGTACAAAATGTAGATGATCAAACTGCAATATAAAATTATTAATATTGAAAGCATCGCTTTACACTGGATGGTGCATATACATGTACACATGTGCATGTACATGTACATGTAAGTACTGGTGTACCAAAATTAGCAGTATAAATTACCAACAGCATCTTTTGTTATATTTCTTTCAGAAAAGTGCAGTTGAAATATTATTCTAAAAGTTGAAACCAAATTTGTAGTTCAAAGGATTCCTTTTCTAGCCCAAAGTAAGCTTACATGAAGCTCATCACATTAAAAAAGTGTGCCTGTCAGACTTAACATTGTACAGTCTTACATACTAAAATTTGTAATTCAAAGGAAACAGTAGTGTTGCAATTGCCTAATTATAGTGCAGTAGTAAAATTAGCTGTCATGTTAACTATATTATATTCTCTCAAATTTGTGCCACTCCTTTTGCTGTAGGTGTCAGGAGGAAAATAAAACAGCAGAAAGATTCAGATCAGGAAGTACCGTAGTGTGATGTCATTTATTAGGGTAGCCAGGTTTATCTTACTATAATGTCAGACACAGAAGTTACATATAGATACTACACAATGTAGAGTACATGAAACTTGTGTATCAAAATCAGCAGCAAGGAAACATTTAAAATGGCATTGAAGTTTGGTGCCTAAGAATACAGTTGAGACTATTTAGGGATAGAATGTAAACATACCCAAATTTATCCTACAATTTGCAGAAAAAACGCGAGGGTTGCAGCAAGTAAATATCATGACAAATTACAGACAGTCTGAGTAATTCAATATTGAAGGGTCCAGCATATTTTTTTGCTTCCTCAATTCCAACCCTAGTCTTGTTGACTCCTGATCAGAGCCATTTCCTGTGTCTGACCTTTTGACCTTTAGCCATCCTACCCTTCTATATGAATCTAATCAAATTTGAGTTAAATTTGAGCCATTTACTGTGTCTGACCTTTTGACCTACACCCATCCTACCCTTCTTTACAAGTCTAATGCAATTTGAGTTAAATTTGAGCCATTTACTGTGTCTGACCTGTGTCTGACCTTTTGGCTTTCAGCCACCCTACCCTTCTATACAATTCTAATCGAATTTGAGTTAAATTTGAGTAAAATTGACTGCCAACCACACCCTGCACACAACGCAACCATGGTGCAGGGGAACTGTAGCTGGGATAGCCAAACACCAGTTGGGGGGAGTTTGGCCTTAAATTTTGGGCATCAATGTACAGTATGAACTTCATGAAAAATCCAAAACATATGCCTGACACCTTGTACTTGTCTTTCAGAGTGTCCTTCCTGATGTTTTCTGTGGCATCAAATTGTTCCTGCCCAGCACAGTAGAGAACTACACCAGACTCAGACGGTACTTCGTGGCCTACGATGGTGACATCGTGCCAGACTACGCCATGGCACAGGCAACACATGTGGTGGAGGATCCTGACCAAAAGGTACAAAACATGTTACACTATCTGCAAAACATTAAAGGCATCAAATGCAATCTCTGGATGGCAAAACTGGAATTGTATGGAATGCTTTTGATGTGCTGGTATTAAGTTGACTGAACCCTATACATGTGTACCTTTAGCATACTAACACATGTATCTGTGAGGCAAAAATGCTGAGTCAGATGGAAAAAAAAATTGATTTCCCAATAATAATAATAATAACCTTTATCATACATGTACATTCATGCCCTATCAGGCTAAATGTAAGTACAGGTAAACAGATGAAAAGGTATATAACATCTCTTTATATATCTAAAAAGATCATTTCTATCATTACTACATGTATATACAACGTAAACTGCAATCTACGACAAAGTGGACTTCATCTTCTACTTTGTTTGAGCTACAAAATTGGCAAATCCTTTGCTCCAGAGGTGTGCGGTTGTGCCTTCCTGTTTCGATGCTGAGTTTATGACAGCTGATTTATAGTTTGGTGATAGTTTGGGATTTTATAATAATTAACCATTGACAAGGAATGAATCAATGAAATAAGCATAGCCAAGAATAGGGTGGATACCAGGCTACTATATTATATATTAATAGGATTATGATGTTTTGTGTATTAATTTTTTATTATTTTCACAGAACATGAATGGTAAGACTGATGCCCAGCTGGTGACAGTAGACTGGCTGTGGGAGTGTATCAAGAGGAAGCAACTTGTTCCAGTCTGACCAACTAGTGTTAACATTTTCACACTACCAACATGTAAGGCCACACTGACTTAATTTTATGGATGACATCCGCGCGCGCATTGATTTTTGCCTATTCTCAAAAAAAAAAAAAGAGCACGTCCTCCAAGGCTCTGGCCTGGATAGTCCATGGTAGTTTAGTGACAATACGTAGCCGGTGGTAACTCTGGAGGACGGCACCCAGGCTACCAAAGCTCCAGGACTCAAGAACTCAGTACATAGTCGCACAGTGCCGATTCATAAATTCCACAAAAAGCCAGCATATGCCCGCTTGTCGTATATGTCTCTATGTACTGCTGCAAATTCACAATACCAGCTGTTCATTCCTGTGATTTACATGTAGCAGCATGATTTTTATTTTTGGCCAGCATTTTTTTTATCCGCCTGTGCACAGAAGTTTGGGGGTCTTCAGAGGATGTCATCCATTAAATTAAGTCGGTGTGGCCTAATATAACATTTGCCAACTCTCTGCAATACTTCTTCTAAGCCATCTCGAACAACATTGTACTGGCAAGTACTAGTACTAGTATGTTGTTTTGGCAAGTGCGCAAGTTATTGACGATAATAAGAACAAAATAATAGAATAAAATGAGCTGGTTAACAGTTATAATTCAGCATGTCAAAGGTGATTGGCTCCTAACTTTTATAAACAGTTAGTTATTGTCTAGAAGGACTGTATCAAAACATGTTTTATTTATGTCTCAGGGGACTTCAAAATTTAGGCATATTACGCACATTGTATCACATTGCACATGTACAGTTTAAACCATGAACCAGACAGTGACTGATACATGTAGGAATGTGTAATGAATGTATTCCAATAGGGCTATTACATGTAGAAGTACATGTAGGTTATGACTTCTGAATATAGTACAACTGCTGTGTAGTGTAATGATACATACATGAAGGAATTCAATGTACATTTTTATGTTGTTGCTTGAGACATACAGATACAGCAGTACTGTTTGAAGTGTAATAACATAATTAATATAGTCTCTACATGTTATTAACCATTTTAGCATATTGGAGTATGCTATAAGAAATGGAATAAATTGTAGCAATTTACAAGATAACCCAAAACCTCATTGTAGAGTTCACATGATTTGAAACATGGTTGTTACAACATCCTCTGAAATTCAAACTTACAAGAATATCAGGGTCTGTTGATAATAATAAATAGATTATGTGTATTATAAATCATGTACATTAGACCACATGAATTCAGTTTGTTGGTTCTCAGATTTTTTCAGAAAAAATATAAAGGGACAGGGCGAAAAAAAAATAAAAACAGGTCTTAGCATCCTATTACATGTATAGCCCTAAATGCTACGTTAGAAGCCATGAAGTCAACACAAAAGGCTGGGTTAATGTGTAAACTATGAATTTTTCATTTTTTATATCAAACCACTGCATTATTTTTGATAGATGGAAAAACTGTAACAACTAGAAAGTAAAGGACTTTCTTCAACTGTTAGGGGGGGATATGAGCATTTTTTAGTTGATTCAGAACCAGAATCTTTTTTTTTTTTTTTTTGCAAATCAGAAAAAAAATGAAGAGGGAATCTGAGAAACAACAAATTAAATTGATGTGGCCTTACCGGTGCACACCCCAGTTCTTGCGCGACCGGGGTCCGTGATAGTCCGTTGCAAAAAAGTGACGAAAGGGTTTTGAGGGTCCAAGTTTGAGGTGACATTTCTCATAAACTGCCACGAAGTGTCATTAAACATTAACATGGCTGAAGAGTGTAAGAAGTGGTGTTTTTGGGGTGAAAATTTCTTTTGGCTCCGAACCTTACTTCCGGGTATCCTTGCGCGCCAAGTGTAATCCGCCCGTTTGACCTAGATTTCGCTCTGCGCCTTCGTAGGGGTGCATTTGCAACCCCTCGCGCCGTGGACTGTTTAGAAAATTACAGTACTAGAATTTTCTTTATAATTTACTCGAGTATAGTCAAGGCTTGGGTCTTTCTGCCAGTATCAGTCATTTCTGCCGGAAAAATTTTTTTCTTATGGATTATCCTACGCGAAAATTCGCAATTTTGGGTCATTAATTTTGGAGTGAAAAAAATTTTTTTTCCGTTGATTTTACCAAATTTAAAAAGGTTGAAGAAACCAAACTCAGCTGGTCTTGTAGCTGAAGAGATATCCTTTCGTCCCATATACAGTTATTCTGATTCCGAATTATTCCACGCCAGATACGGTCGCTAGATTTGAGGGTGTGCAGCCTCCAATAGAGACGCCAAATAAACTGGGGTGTGCCCCCTTACATACATTGTACATTGTTACTATTAGGCAAGTTTATGTTATAGAATCGAAACAGTAAAAATGACTTTTTTTCTATTTGTCAGAGAATTGTAGTTAGAATTTTTTTCTCAATCATGGAATATTAGAAATCTGTAGATATTAATAATTGTTGAAATTTTTGGTTAAGCATGCCAGTACTGCATAATATGATGACTAAATTGTTGAATTTTGAATTAGTGAATATTGTATGTTCCACATTATTCATGCGATTTAGAATAATAGTGTTAAAGTTACGCTATAAGAATTGCCTGTTTTATAAAGCCTAGATCCGATTCGATAACAGTAGAGGTAGTAAGGTGAAAAGATTGTATAGTATTGTAGTCTTTTTCTACAATACTATGTTAAGAAATTGTGAAATATTAAAAAAGAATGCACAATGCCACTATAACCCTGTCCCTGACAGCATTTTTCTTTTACGCAGTGTTAAAGTAATGTTACAGTAACATATGTTAATAACATCAGTAACAGACTTTAGTAATAATATATATTGACCAGACCGTATGATATAAATTCAAAGAACGTGAACTACGCAAGAAAAAAATTTGGGTCTTGAAAGGCATCCGATTCAATGTCAGGGCGGATTTTCAAAGATCATTCTTCTTATAGTAAGTTGAATCAACCCTATCCCTGGCCACAGTATGATGATATTATTATGGCAAAAATGTGATGACGCTGTCGAAAACGGTTGCCTGTTTGGTATCGTATTAAAGCTATTTGTAGCTATTTTTTGTGGTGGTGCATTGTGTTTATATTTTACTTCTTTTTCCAAAAAAAATAATGCAAAAATGTTACAACGGCTGCCGGAGCTAGCTGGAATCATCCATTACTCCAGGTTTGTGTGATTGTGAAGTCCCCTATTAGGTCTTCGGGAATAGGGCCTGCAACAATGTAAAATAAATACATCATATTATGGAGGTGAAACGAGAGACCTCAAAGACGTAAAATATTATCTTACGCCATGATGATTTGATTATATGGATGACATCCGCGCTCGCATGAATTTTCCAACAAAAAAAAAGTTTTCAACCAAACTGTAAATCGTACAAAACAGTTGCAAAATGAGCAAATATGTACCGTAAGTTGAAAAAAAAAGCGAAAACGATACCAATGTCGTAGAATGCCAACATCAAACGAAAAAGACGAATATGTAAAGAAATGAATTTGAAGACTAGATTCTTACCAAACCATACTATGTCATTTGTAAAACCTCCAAACCACGTAGATTTCATAATGAAAGCAACGTTTTTTGGCCAAACATTTTTTATTCGCACGCTCGCATCAGTTTTGGGGTTCCCAGAGGATGGCATCCATATAATCAAATCAACATGGCCTTATAGAGGGGAACTGAGGAACATTTAAAAAGGCATGTGGAAAAAAGAATACAGCTATAGAAGAGTGTGAACATCATTCGCGATTCGAACTTCTCTCAGATAGATATAGTTACAATAACTCGTTGTTACAATTTTAGTGTCGCCCAAAGTAGTTATTATACATGTCTGTTCGATGAATTACAATACTATTGTATCCAGAACCATGAATGTCCAATTAGGATCAAGACACAATTCTGGATATAGTCTCCTCGAAGGCAATCCCAAACCATTCCTGATCCTGTACCTAAATCCGTTGTCATATATCCATGACCTTCCTCCTTACATGTTTCTGAACATCAGTTGACCTAGATCGCAGCCTTGACATATTTAGGTCCACGCCTACCCTTCCATACGGATCATAACGAATTTGAGTTGAATTTGAGTCAAATTTGCCCCCGAAACACGCCCCAAACACTGCTGACTTACTCCCGAATGGTAAAATAGCTTGTGTTTTGCGGACAGCCAAATAAATACGAGCCAAAAACGGTTAAATCTAACGACTTACCCCATAAAGTTTTAAACATTTTGAAAAATTCGACCTTAAGCTTGTTTTACTTTATTTTCATTTTTTTGTTTACTCAAAGGTTTTCATGATTACACATGGAGACAGCACACTCAAGTTAAATTCAACTTATTCGATACAGCCACCAACACAGAGAGGCGAATACAGGACAGGACAATACTAATTTTCACTTGAGTTAGGTGAGGAATTTATTCGTGTAAAGTGCTTTTCCCAAGGGCACAAGATCGGTGGCATGTCAGGACTCGAACTCGGGACCTCTTGGTTTCGATTCGAGCACTCTGTCGTAAACGCCTTACGACCTCACATGCTTGCCTTACATGTATTCTTGCTCTCGACATAGTTGGGGTGTTCGGCATTGTTAGGGAGGTCATATTTGGTTATGTGTGACAGGTAGCTAAAGAGGACTAGATAATCGTAAACTTTTAAGCGTTCAACTAGGTTCTCCACCAGCTCACACAACTTCACCGTCCAAATTCCTTGTTCGAAATCTTTTTACAGTGACAGTTTCTTTCCCCGTACGGCCAAGCTTTGGAATTCCCTCCCTGACAAGTGTTTCCCACCAACCTACAATCTACAGGCTTTCAAATCAAACGTTTACCGCCATCTCTTGACAAAGCCATGTTTCTCATATTTCTAGTTCAATGCCGAGAGGTGGTCGTATAGTCCTTCCATTAAACCACTCCGTTAAAAAAAATAATCACGTGCACGTTTCTGGATAGTACACCCACCCTGTCTTGTTCCATCAGCTGTTCCAACCTGTCCTCCATGACGTCAGGAGTCGGTCTTACATCCGGGTCATCCTGCCAGCACAGCTTCATCACTTCGTACCTAGTAAATATAACGTTACAAATTCAACACAATTATCGTTTTAATCATTTTTAGCCTTAATTCGGTCATAATCGGCGTATTTAGGGCCAGGGTTTTCTCCTTTCGCCACGTTAATCTCCAGGTGTTTAAGGTCCTTTTGTCTGTTAAGGGCTGAATAGAAGTTCTAAACGGATACTATGCGGCTCCAGATGTCCTACTAATGCTGAGGTCACATCTCCAAGCCGGGGCCTGGCCGGGATGTTTCGATCAACGAAAAATAAACAAAAGTAAAAAAAAAAACATATGCAAATAATTACATTATCATTAATTTTTTCAACTTTTGTGTCTTTTTCATCATACTTTTCTTTCAATAAGACTCCCGTCCGGGCCCTGGTTTGGAAATGTGACCTCAGCATAAGGGGCGACTGCCGTGAACCATGTGCGAGATGTCAGTTGGCTTGTGGAATGAATTAATTCTATCATACATGTATAGTATGCATATGCTTGTTATATTGCACATATATTGAACTTTGTACGGTTGTTGTGCAATAACTATTATCATTTATTTATACAAACATGATCAGTCAAATGCTTAAAAAAAACTACATGATCAAGAAGTTATTATAGTTGACATTTTACTTACAGCTCTTCTGAACATCCGTTCGGTTTCTGCAGACGGTACCCTCGGCGGAGCCTCGTTACCAGAGTCTCGTACCCATAAACCTCGGGATAAGGAGTTCCTCCTGAAATTTCATATTTCTTTAGTAAAGCGTATTGATTTTCGCCTGTTCTAAAAAAAAAAAAGATCACGTCCTCAGATGCTCTGGCCTGGCTTTAGGCCTGGTAGTTAGCGACAACACGGAGCCGGTGGTAACTCTGGAGCATGGTACCCAGGCTGCCTAAGCTCCACGACTCACGTAAAGTCCCGCAAAACCCGGCTTGTCGTATACGTCGCTATGTACTGCTGCAAATTGTTGATGTGTGCATCTCTGTCTAGACTGAGTAGGTTGACGACACACGGGTTGAGGGATTGACCGGCAGGATCACAGGTCAAAAGATAAGACACAGGAGTTAGGATAAACGTGAGCGTAAATTGTGAGCATATGGGAAATTGACAGAATTACGAGACGCCAAATTAAAAAAGGTCAGGCAAAGGAAATGGGGCGAACTGGAATAAAAACTAGACATACTTTTAAGAAGTCTGAGCCCCCCCTCCCCCCCCAAAAAAAAACGTAGTTTGGGCCACACCGATTTAGTTATATGGATGACATCCTCAGAAGGCCCCCAAACTAGTGCGCGTGGGCGAATGAAAAAAATTCCGGCCAAAAATAAATACAAAGCACTTATTGTGAATTTGCGGCAGTAAGTTAGTACATAGCAACGTATACGACAAGCGGCACATGCTGGCTTTTTGGCGGAATTTATGAATCGACACTGTACGTATGTATTGAGTTCTTGAGTCGTGGAGCTTCGAATTCGGTAGCCTGGGTGCCGTCCTCCAGAGTTACCACCGGCTCCGTATTGTCTCTAACCACCATGGACTACCCTGGCCTAGAGCCAGACCAGAGCCTCGGTGGACGTGACCTTTTTTTACTCCGTGAAGGAGGTCAGGACCTCCGGACGGAGTGTTGTGATCGGCTGATTTTTCATGTTCGCAGTCAAAACACTGGGTTCTCTTTGTGTAATCGGCACGCAATTTTATAGGCCGTCTGCGGGCATGACCGTGTTGATGCACGAATGTGTATTTTTGCCGTTGCTGCTTTCGCGGTCAATGTAATATTGCAGACGCACCCCTACAATTACGAGGCGAATTGGAATGGTCCAGAAAAACGCGTTGTTTGGAATAGCAGTGGGGGGGGTGGAACTTCATGCAGATACGGGGTGGTTTTGATAAGTGGTTCCAGATGTTTTTGCCCATGCTTAAGAGATGCCAAGTTTTTTGGAAGATGTTCGCAGCCAAAACGCATTCTTCCGTACGTCGCATTTCTGTGTAATTTCGCATGTGGTGTGGCATTATGTCCGGGATGATGCACGTCTTTTTATTTTTACCGTAGCTGTTTTGATATTGAAGTAAATGCATATTTTAGAAACATCCCTACTTTTACAATCCTGTGGAATAGGCCGTAGGTTTAGGCAGTTGTCTGGTAGCAGAGGTACTATAAGCAGATATCCTGGTTATCTGGCCGGCGGTAGTAACACTCGCGGTGCTTACCGCAACTGTTGCTGGAATTTGGCCTGTTACAGGCGCGCTTAATTAGGTACAGGCACGGTAAGACGTAGCCTGGGTACCAATTTTACTTGTATGCCGGGGCTCCCACACTCGCTTCCCTAACAGGTGGGGCTGTCTTTGTTACTAGACACGACCATGATAGTCCGATCTTTATGTGAATGCAATGATTGTGTGTGTGTAATTAAAATGAACTTCGAACTTGAAGCACAGTATCTTTACACGCCCTGGGAGCAGCAATGGATTTAGCTCTTTGTATGTTTTATGCTTGTGACGCGCCCTCATTGTATTATCCGTTGCCTAATTATAATGTCTGCATAGTAGGTATTGCGTTGACGCGTGGGATTTTGTTGAAATATATAAAAGTTCACGGAGGATTGTCACCTATGGCTTCTTGTTTTTTGTTCTTTTTGAGGGCGAAAGGCGAAAATCAATGCGCGTGCGGATGTCTTCCATAAAATTAAGTCGGTGTGGCCTTAGGTTGCTTAGGATCTCCTCCTTATTTTTTTTTTTTTTTTTTTTTTCGTCACATCTTTCTTTTTAATGTATCCTTTGTACGCACACTCGGGTGTGACGTGTGGACCCATCGCTTAGCCAGTGAGGAAGCTGCTTAAGTCGAATTCACAGTCGGCCAAGGAGCTGCCGTCGTCAGGGCACTGGCAAGTGTAACCCGGCGACACCTCAACAGCATCCCCCGCGGGTTTTTTTTTTTTTTTTTTTTACATTTCCGTGTCCGCCACGGCACTTTATTCTCTCCACATGTATGTTACAAATAATATGTCAGCATATAAGCATAATAAATTAATGAAGTACA